GCCGATAAGTGGTACACCGCTAAGACAAATGGGGAAAACGTGGAAAAAAAACCGCGCAAAACGAACGCGCTAGCTGTTTCGCAGGGAAAAAAATATGCGGTCACGACCGGCGGCGGATCTCGGGATCAAAGACAGTTCGACGGACGAGCAGAAAAAAAAAAATAAAGAAATAAAGATCATCCGAAAACGTTTAAGCTCGCAAACACTACGATTAGCAGGGGAGGGTGGGCTCGGAGGAGAGGTAGTATGTTTTCCGATTTTTTTATTTTTTTTTTTTTACGACATATTCCGCCGCCGGTATTTTATTGTTCACGCTCCCGAAATATTTCCGACCGCGTCACGCGTTCATTTTTGGCGACCGATGGAGGCGCATCACAACCTGCGGGCACCGCGAAGAGCCACGGTACTCGCGTGGGAAAAATCCTCCGCGGTGCAGAGTGATCATGGTGTACATTTTTTATTTTATTTCATTTATTAGCAATAAACGCCCACGCGGAGGTTTTAAGCTGTGTATAATTTTAATACGATAATGGGCAGACCAACAGTGGTATTACTTGTCGTGCGCGACGCACTACGATTTCGTGTACTCGGAGCGCGGGTAGGGTTAGGTCGCGTTAGGGGTACGGTAACGCGTGCGGTACACGCCGTTCGGACTTGTCGCGCGCGGATCTCACGGATTAGTCTTCGTCCCCGGGGGTCCGCCGATCGATCGCCGGTGTTTATGGCACCGCGTCAACGAGTAAGCAGTAGGAAAAGGGTCAAATTAAAAATTCATGATCGTTGCATGTGTACCATTGACAGGAGCGTACCCAGGAATTTTTTATGGGTGGGATGGGGTTCCAACATTTTTATTTTATCTGTACTCTAATTATAATTATAGTTTAACTCAATACCAACAAATCACTGTTAATATATTATAGTATGGTTTACACATTATAGGTATATTATATAATCTATAAACCTTGTATATTGAAGATAATTGGAAATTAAAATACACTGTATACCTACTATTATTATACTATTTACTATTAAACCGTTGAGTATATAGAAATTTCAATGAGAGGGGTGTGGACCCGAAAACCCAACCCTTTGGTACGCCCTTGACCATTGACCAGAGAGACAAGAAAACTTGTATGGGATTTTTTACGTGCTCCATGTGTTTATTATAAAACGTATTGGTATTTTTTATATACGATACAATTAAACATAAAGTTTTTACAGAATGAAATCGTTATTTATTTATTTATTTTTTTAATATGAAAATGACTGAAAAATAGACTCGGTGGGCTTCGCTTCAACCACTGCTCGAGTACCGCGGTATGTGCGCGGTGGTCGCGGTTTATACCTGAGTTCGTTACGCGGCGCACATTATTCCGACGGCGTTTCCGCATCGCTTCGGTTTTCACCACAGAAAACGTACGCAAAGCGTTGCTACCGATTGCGATCGATCTATCCCGATAACTGTTTCGGTCACCTGCGGTGCAAAAGGTGTGCGCTAAAAAATTCATCAGTCCGTCGGTGCGTACCGATATGCGGTGTCGATGTATTTTGTCGACGGTTAACACTTGAAATCGGAACCCTTGAATGATCTCCGGTAACGGAGGGATAGCAAAATAATATTACGTACCGCCGTCCTGTTCGTTGTCACCCCTAAACTGCCCTCTGATGTTGAATAAACAATATCGTTGCGTTGCGCTGGTAAGCTAATGGAAAAGTGATGATAATTTAGAACGACCGGCGAGTTACTCGGTCAGACCCACAGATATATATAATAACTAGATAACCGACTTCTTCTAATCAATGACGCTGGCAGCCATTTGCAACTTCGGCAATGTTTACAAATAATAATATGATAACAATTGACAACAATACAAACAATAATTGCCCAACTTACTGACTACTGAACCATTTTCGGCGATTATTGTATGTTTTGTATAATTAATAATTTAAGATGGTGACCTCATGTAGTGTACATTTGTGCACGAATAGACATTCAACAAATGGAGTTAGAAAAATACACTTTTTCTCATAAGCAGACTTGGGTAAAATACTTTTTAAAAGTATTTAGAATAAATACTCGAATAATTACAAAAAATAGTACTCCGAATATGTATTCAAGTACTTTATACAAATTGTATTCCGAGTACATTATTTAGAATGCTTCAAAAGTATTCCGAATTCTTTTAAAATACTCCTAGTTTTCATACTATAAAAATAATAGATGTCCACTCAACAGAAATATTTGAAATTGTAGACTAAATATATGCTATTTTCAATATCAAATCAATTGAACCACATTTTGAAATAGGTAGCCACAGTCAAGCCCAGTAATTCATATTCACTGATTCTTCGATTTAAACTTATATTTTTAGGCTTACAGTAAATCGTCCTGAAAATGTACAACGTAAAATGAGTTGAACTTAACTGGTTCATCCATCAATCATGGTTTATTAACGTATAACTGTATTAGTATACTGGTAATAAAATTAAGTTTATGAAAAAATAATTATATTTTGAGTGTATTATGAAATATTTGTATCACGATGTATGATATCAAAACGATTAAAAAATGATTAGAATTCGTAAACATTGCCAAAGTTGCAAATGGCGTCGGCCATCATAATTTAATAATATTGTTGTACCCGAGTCGGGTATCTGGTCATTATGCATATCTGTGGTCAGACCGAACCTGTTTAATCGCGTCTCGGTCTACTACTGTTTTTACCATCAAAATAAAATTATATTTTACGTGTTGCGTGTGTGCAGTGCACAATGCCATTACTCGGTAACTCGCAGAACAACAATTGCACATCTACTACTGTACATTTAAACGCATACTAAAACCCTAAAACCGTTATGAAAGTTCACACCGACCGCACGGGAAACGCGTGAAATATTTATTTCTTGAACGTTTACGCTTCGTTTAACGGAACGTTTGTTAATCTATACTTGTTGAATGTTGACTAATGATACACTGCCAACGTTGATTTAGACATACAGCTCGCGTTTAACCAATATCCAAGTACTAAGGTTAGTAGTACACTATGGTATCGAAGGTGTACTCCCGATAAGTTAGACTTCGAAGTATAAAACGAATATATCTTTTCTTTTTTTTTTTTTGCTTAGATCAAAACGTATTTATCATTATCTGGATGGATTTAAGTCGAGTTAATATAATTATCTAAATTCTAGATTGTCTAGATTCTTGACGAATAAAACGTATTGCATTTTCTTCAACTTGAATAAAAAAAACAGTTATTTGACCACTTTTCTTGAAAAACGCGAATGTCAACCGAAATTTCACGTTATTTTTACTCACTGTTATATTATACAAGTATTACGAAGAAAACGTATGACATTGAAACTTTTACACACAAACGAGTATTGTGCTCGTTACACAATCAATTACGAACCAACAGGCAACGGCCTACATTCATATCCAGGTGGGTAATTTAATCTATCTTATCGTTTAATTCAGATAGCGATGGCTTATCCGTTATAATTTTACGGAAATAGAAAATATACATGCTAATTTCTAATGTGATCGCGGCCCACGTATTATGACAGGGCGGCCCGCGGGTTGAAGACCTCTGATCAAAATACATTTTTGTCGTATTATCTTCATCTTAATCTGGATTAGAGAGTATTTATCTGACGACAATGAAATGTTACTATCGAAATCGCGAGACCCCGTACAAAGACCGTGCAATATTAAATGTTTCCATACTGCTGTTCGTTACCGGGATTTCGTCATTTTCGGTTTTCTCGCGATCGGCGTCTGCAGTTTCCTGCGCTCCTGCGCGGCGCAAACCCTTACCGAGCACGTCTACGGATCATCCCTTCGTCTCGTTTACCCTTGCCCGTCTAAAAACCGCATCGCCACCGGTCGGTCGCGTAACCTCGTTTGAAACGGATAGGTATTTGGATGACGGGAAAACGGTGTGCACGTTGATTATAACAATATCAGCGGCACTCGTGTTCACAGAAGGTACGTAAAATATTGAAGTACACAAAACGCGTTCGTCTAAATTGTTTAATGTTTCTAAAATAATAATAATAATAATAATAATAATAATAATAATAATAATAATAATAATAATAATAATAATGATAATAATAATAATAATCTAACTAAATATCGTATGTACAATATAAGCTTTTCTTCGTTTACATATTAAACACGCGTATATATTTATACGTATATACATGCACATAATGTTTTAATATTCATACAAACACGGTATATTACATCGAAACCGTTTAATATAACGTTAATATTTATATACACATACGGGTACGTATATAAATAAATATTCCGTAAATTATAATACATTGTACAAACTAATAAATTATCTCGTAATATTATATACTATACAAATATCTGAGTTCTAAACATTGTTTTCTATACAATTTCATGTTTTCGACTAGCTCATAAATATCATCTATATTTATATATTATATATATATATATATATATATATATATATATATATATATAAAATATGCGTATTACATTGATGTAGACGTTGTACGCGCGTTAGAAGAGAGAAAAAAAACTGGTTGTTTCGAACGAACGTATCGTATATAATAAAGTAGTAGTAGGTAAAAGAGAAATATGAACGTTTCGACTTTGATTTTTTTGTATATATATTTATTTTTTTGGTTTTTTTTTTCTTCGATTTTTTCATTTTTTTCTTTTCTCACCGGTGTAAATTAAAAGATACAATAAAACTGTCCGTAACCGCCGACGGTCGATATGCGAAAACGAAACATTAACTCTATGACGTACCACGACGATTTTACGTATACGTATTATTATTATTATTATTATACTGGCCAACTGTGTCTGCGTGAGTGCGGGTGTGTCCGTCAATCATTTGGTTAGCGTCTCTTTTGATGGGAATACATAGGAACTATGAGTATATACATATTATATGTTATCGTATTAATATATAATATTAATAATATGTATATATATATATATATATATATTATATGCGTACATAATAATAATATTTTTAATAATAATGATAATACCGATAGTAATACAATATAATAACATTATAATATAGTTATACTGATGCGTTTGTCATTCGCCGACCCTGCTGTGATTGGTGTGCCCGGGGAACGGCAAATCCAATAATCACGCGTACTCGGATCTCCAACTAGCCTGTGTGAAAAATAACACAAAAGAAAACGGCCGTTAGACGGTTTGAGAAAAGTGAACTTTTATACCGTTGATACCGGGTACACTATCGATAGTTTTATGTGTCGTACATTTCGTCCGTACCGAGATTGTTTTGTAAATCAACGCGTTACACGTCGAAAAACAAACGATTGCCGAACGGACGATGGTCATGCGAATCGCGGTGTATACGAGTACGACGACTACGGCCGGACGATCAAACAATATTTATACCTCGGTAACGGAAGAGAGAGCGGAATGGGCGCGCGCGCTACGGGAATAATTAGAAGCCGGTGGCCACGTTTTCTGTGCGAAAACACGCGTCTGAATGTGACATTTTCACCGACAATGGCTAGAACGGTCGTATACGTTATGCGCGCACCGCGTTCCGTTATAGTCTCCTGGAAACCATTTGTGTTGGGTCCGCTCGAACGTGACCCGTTCGATCGCGTACACCGACGCGTATTTTATTGCCATTATCACGGGTTGATCGTGCCCGTTTAGAAATTAACGGATCGAAATCCGTGGAAAATGCTGCGCAGTGGTCGACAGTGTTTCACGAGTGCCACCGAACGGTGCGCTGTTGAAAGCACTACCGCAGTGGCGTACAGAAATATTTGAGGCGAACGACTAATCGTGCTCGACACCGTATTTCCGTTTACACGGTCAACGGTTTTCTCTAAATTGTAGCCACGTTCTACAGGTCGAAGGATAACGTTTTGGCCGCGTTACCGATCTGTACGAATACTGTTGTAGGAGCGAACCGCGGGGCGCGCTCGGGACGATGCAAGAATCGAAGCTTAAAGGAACGCGATAGGGGTCGGAGTTGTGAACCGAAAAGAGGGTTGAACGAACGGGGAGAATACGAATGCTTACCATGTTCGACGAGGCGGGCAACCCGAGTCCGGTGAGCGACGCCATGTGATGGTGGTGCGGGTGTATGGGTGCGGACGGCGCGGCCGGCTGCGTGGCCTGATGGTGGTGGTGGTGGTACATCGCCGCGGCCGCGGCGGCCGCGTGGTGATGGTAGTGGCTCATGGCCGCGGGGTGCGGGTGCAGGGCCGCGGACGCCGGATGATGGTAACCGGCGCCGGTGCCGTCACCTCGCATCATGCCGGACAGCGACAAGCACGCGCCACCGCCGCCGCCGCCGCCACCGCCGCCCAGACCGCCGCCGCCGACACCGCCGATGCCGCCGACCATCGAGCCCTTCTTCTTTTTCGACTTTGACGACAGCTTCCGGTTCCGCGTTTGGATGCCTTCCTTTTTCATCGTCAACGGTCGGTTCACCTGCGGAGAGAAAAAACACAACCGCGATGAGTATAAATCGGTCACCGACGGATGTGAAAGCGGGCGCGAACGAACACCGAGTGTACGGCGCGATTGGAATCGAGCTCCGCGATTCGGTTTTGTTCGGTCCGCCTGGTAACGCGCGCCGAAAACGAAATATTTCCGATGATCGCATAGTACACGGTTTTGGTCGCGCACAAAGGGATAAACAATAAGAATAAACCGTTTTGCGCGACGTCGAGCACGTCGAGTAGTGGTTCGTTCGGCTAATTCATCGAATCCAATGACGGGATTCGGTACGCGCCACCGAACGCTTTGGGTCGTCGCAATAATAATAATAATAATAATAATAATAATAACCGCGGCGCGGAGAGCGATAATCGATTTGCGGAAGAAATCCCGGACGGAGGATGTTTGTCGTATTATTGTGTCAAACGCGTACCGCTGTCGTCGTCGACAACAATGAGAGCAGTTTTAATAATAACGAAAATAAAAAAAAATAAATAGCGCATAATACGTACACACGTAGTATCAATCTTCGTCGTACACGCACAACGAATAATAGCTGGTCCTACTTTTCGTGCACACGCGTGTACGTACATATTATTGTCGCCCTCGCCGACGATAATAGGTTTTTTATTGTTGCGGACCTGCATGCGTGTACGCACATCCGCAGCTGCCGCCGCCGACCGGCCGGTACGCCCATTTCCATTGATACGCACTTAAAAACATTGTACCATATAATCCCCGCCGAGATTGTATACGCGTTCGTTTGTAGGTTTATAATATTGTAATAATGCCGTTTTCTCGGAGGAACGACCCTCTAGGAAAACGACGGCGACCCTCGGATGCAAACGTTACGAGTGTATATGTATAAGGGATATCACGACGACACTGCGACGTGCACGACGATCGTAGTGTTTGGGCTGTAAAATGTTTTTCGGTGGCGTGTGCACGACGAGCGCTTCGTCGTCCCACGCGTATACACGTTTCGTGCCGAGGGGGCGTGCTCCGCACGGGGTAGCGTTTCGCTGCGCGCCGAGTACGCGGTGCTGAACACGTTTGAGCGGTACATTTTTTCGACGTACGGACAAGACATCTCGGTCCCTCCGAGGAAGAGGCGCGGAAAAAAAAAATAAATAAACAACGCGGACGAACGGCGGCGCGAAACGATAACATCGGCGGTGCGAAACGGTGTGCCCCGCGGGGTCCCCGGAATCGGTTCTGCGACGAGGAGATGGTGGCGAGGCGACGGTGGTCGTCCGAGTGAAAACCACGATCGCTGCCGGTCGCGCGCGAGATCGATTCGAATCCGTTTTTGGTTTTCGATTTGTCACAGCGGTCCATCATCGTATCGTGTCGGCCCACGCGAAACCCTTTCGGCAAAACGGCAACGCGACGGTCGACACACGGATTTTCACCTACGGCCCGCGCCGGATGTGAAGACGATACCGGTTGAAACGTTCGACGTTCACGCGTGTCGTGCGCGTTCGTACGGGCGATTGCGTAAAACGATTGTCGTCGAAAACGGTTCGTTTTCTTTCGCCGCAGCCGAACAATGGAAATCCGCGGTCGGGGGGGGGGGGGGCGGTCGACGAATGTGCAACGGGAAAAACAAAAACGGTCGTACCTCGCGTTGACAGCGCGGTGTTACTACCACCCCACCTTGGTAATAATAATAATATGATTAAAGTTTTCGACGATAATGAAACGATGACGAAGACGACAAACCGTCGGCGGCGGCGGCGAAGTAGGAGAATAATAATACGTAAGAGAGCGGAGAAAAAAAAAAAAAAAAAAAAAACAATAATAATAACCCCCGGGCCGTTACACGCTCGCCGTAAACGCGTATAGGCGTTGACCCGCGGTAGGGGTTTTCGTTTTCGGTGCACTATATAATTTGACTTTTCGTTTATTGTAATAATTAGTCATTAGCGGTTCTCGTGCACCGCCGACCATCTCTCGGCACCCGCGGAGCGCGCCCGAGATCCATTGTGCGCGCCTGCCTATCGCGCTCCGCTGCAGCTAAGTTCACAATAATAAACACAATAATAATCATAATAATAACTATTATTATTATTATTATTATTATTATTATTATTATTATCATCATCATCATCATTATTACTATTATTATTACACGTGCAGCGTCTCCTTGTGCCGTGTTATCGATTCAACCGCTGCTCATTGTTGTTAAACGCGATCTCTCGTCGCCGCGACGGAATTGATTGTTTTCTGGCACACGCGCCAACTATCGTCCCGCGATGGCGAATTCCCCGTTCGGCTCCACGCACAGCTCGTCCGCGTGTCATTTTTTCTGATTCCTCACGACGAATCGTGCGCAATCGAACACCCCGACGATTGACCGTTGCGCTTGTGGTTCAATGCTTGTGGAGCACTGCCGACAACAGTTACAAGGGATTTGCAGATTTGCGCGCAGAATCGCGATCGATCGTCGATAAATTCGTGCAGTATTGCTACCGTAAATAATCGAGACGACGGGAGCGAGGATTTTCAAAACCCGCGTTAAATCAACTACCGCCGTACGAACCGAATAATGTAATCACGTCGCAGAGATCCGACGACATCGCGCTTAGTGTACACACCGTCTCGTCGGCCGTCCGTACACTGTGAATCCCCGGTTGTCGGTGTATCGTCGGTCGTGCAACGTGACATTGGTACGACGTACACATTTATCCGAGTCCGCGTCTACCGCAATACTAACGTGTAACTACGAAATCCCATCGTCGCGATCGAAGGCTGTACGTAAATACGAGCCGTTAAAGAGCCCGTACGATAGTAAATTACCGCATCGACGTGATGCGAAATACCGATCGTCGGTACGGAATGTACACGTTGTACGACGATCGAGTACGTAAAAAAGCGTTTTCCCGTACCGAAAGCGCGTTACGAAGCTAAACGTGTTCCTCCGACGGAGAGAAATCAAATATCTCACGCGCGACTTCAGCTCGGCGAAATCGTGAAAACGATACACGTTTTATGAATATTACTGTACGTTTTGTACTAATCAACCGTTGATACAGTACACGAGCGCGCGACTAGCCGAATTTCACCATCCCTCTCGGAAGATACTTTATCGTTTTACACAAGGGAAATTACTATTGGATTCGAAGTAAAAAAAAAAAAAAAAAAATGTTTGATATTATATATATTTTTATTTATTTACACTATTTGCACACGTATACACGTCAATCGGTTGTTACCGAAATCAGCATATTAAACGGAATAAAACGTTTGCCGAGTAACCGAAAGTGGAAAAACGTGTCCAGCGCAGAGCCCAAAACCGTTTCAAATCTTAAAAATGCGACAGTCGAAAAATCTCTTTTTATTTGGACATCTAAAGCATTACAAAAACAGCTGTATCGGCGATCGAGTGATATTTGAATTTTATTGTTCATAGTTGACACCATGAGCCGCGGGAAAGTTATTTATCCATCTATCCCCACACGACACTAACCTACACACAAACGACAATACCTCCAACTCGATTGCCAATCATATTTTTATTCGCACGGGTGGCGTTTGTAAATTTTTCTAAAAATATCATACACATAGGAGCTCGAGTATTCACATCGGAGGTATTCCAGGAACGTTTACGATTAGTCCTGCACAAGGGAGATTATTTAGTTTACGATCCATCGAACACGGAAGAAAGATAGCACGTAGTAGTTTTTTTATTCGCGTTAAAGATAATTATTTGCTGAATTTTTAGCGATACCGTTCGGCAATTCCATGCTCGTAGGGGACCTGTTCCCGCGGACGACGCTATATTATTACGTAACGCGAGCGACACAACTGCCGATAACCGACGAAACGGACGCACCGGCGGTCGAAACACGTCGACGTCGCACAGTGGGGCAGTTGCCATCGAAATATCATTTGTCAAATTTTACTTATCGAATTATTATATATATATATATATATATATATATGCACAAGTCCGCCGTGCGTTACAGCGTAAAATCAAACGGAATAGTATAATAACGCGTCGTAGGCACACCGAGAGACGTTCGTTCATACAACGCGCGCGCGCGCACAACGAATACGTGTGTACATTCCGTCGTATACGTATTATTTTTTTTTATTTTTGTTTTTTTATGTACACGTATGAACCCGAGGAATTCGACTCCGAAATCAGAGTTGCGGCGACCCGTGACGACGACGACGACGACGGCGACAACGGCGACGAGACGGTAAACATTGTTTTAACGTCAGAACGCCGTGAACGTTATAATATATTCAACACGCGGAGACCACCCCTCGCACACGTAACGTATTACGTTGTACGATACGATAATAAAACGGTGTATTGAATATTTCGTGGAAAAAAAAAAATAATAATAATATCATGAATTGACCGTGGATAATTAATAATATTGTCTATACCATGTGGGGGGGGGGGGGGGTCGAACGTTTTATAATCGCGGTCGCTGCGGTCGCCGTACAGGTACCGTACATAATGCGCGCGCGCGGGACGACATTTTGTACCGTATCGGACGATGACAAACAACGGCGTTTCGGCCCGTCGTAACAAGATAATCGAGCACCATAAAAACGTGTCGACGGGCGGTCCTGATGTGTACGGGACGACGTCAAGACCGCAGGGCACACGTACGCGCGCACGATTTATTCGTATTGTAATATTAATCGGAGACACAATTTCGAAATACGACAAGGCTTTGTCGTTTTTTTTTTTCTTTTTTTCTTTTCTGTTTTCCTAGTCGACAAAACGTTTAAAGATCAAAATTGATTGCGATTTTCATCGGAAAGCCGCGCGCGTGGCCGTGGTGTCCGCCGCCGACCGTTCGTTTGCCGTCGCTATGACTCGAGCGCACATCGTGTCCGTGATACAGTCGTTCGTCGGTGGGATGATCCTTGCGCGAAGCGGAAACAATATACTTAGACAGGAAGCGACCGCGGGTTGTGTGCACAAAGCGCTGCGGGTCGAAGGATGTGAATACATATTCGCACGACGGTATTAGTAAACATGTTTTCCTCTTTTTATTTTTACCCCTCTCGAGTCTTTTCTCTCTCTCTCTCTCTCTCTCTCTCTCTCTCTCACTCTCTCTCGCCCTTCTTCCTTTACGCGTGTCGTCTATAGACCTCGATCCGTCATTGTCTTTGTGCGACGGCGTCTATTACACACCACGCGCACTTGTTTACGTGCGTGTGTATGTGTACATCAGATACACACGACAGAGGCAATTATTATTTCTAGCGTACAAACGGGACCACACGGCGAGCTATTTAAAGCTGTACACGTATACGCACGAGACACTTTATTGCAGGTCGGGCGATAGCGATCGACGGCCGGGGGCGAAAAAAGCCGGAGAGAAAAAATGTGGAATAAAAACTGTACGACCGATTTCGTTTGGAGCGCGCGCGTTATCTGCACCGGCAATATGTGCGCGACTCCTGTGCAGCACTTCTCTAATAAGTCCCGGCGGCCACGGAAGGGTTACGACGCGCCCGTCCCGTCGCTTTGCCCGTCGGCTAATTGCGCGTGTAAAGCTCCACTGCCTCCGCCGCCACCGTTGCGCTCGTCTCGGGGCCAATTATAATTCACGAGCGTAACATGTATAAAAATAATCGTCGTCGTCGTCCGACCACAAAAACGCAACGTAATGGCCGTGCGTTACTTGTGCACAGTGGTGTAGATACAATTTTTTCTGGGAGAAGGGGGGTTGCGTTTTAGAGAAAATTCATAATACTCTTAGTACATCTTAATACGAGGTCCTATATAATAAATGCTACATTTAAAATGGTATTATTGTTATGTCCCGTATTTAATGAAAATCATTTTGTTACTCAATTTGTATTATATACCTAATGATAGTAAAATTAAAATATCATTTTACGATAATATGTAAATATTAATAAACAATAGTTAAAAATATTATTAAAAAAGAATCTGAGAGGAGGTGGAAATCCCTTACCCCCTCCCCCTGTGACTACACCACTGCTTATGCATGCGCGCGCGGATAAGAGACGATCAAGTCGCAACGGCGCGTATGTAAAGGCGTCTGTTGTTAACGATGATGACCACGGTTATAGTAACAAAGTTGTTAACTGCTCACGAATTCGGTCGAAATTAACTGTTATTTTCGGTTGCTCGTTTCGATCGTAAAATTATAACAGCGTACACGGGGGCCTGTGCTCTTTAAACTTCATCAGTACGAGCCAACTATTGATGGTGAACCCGATACGTAGTGGGAGTTTTTTTTTTTTTTTAAACCCGAGTTGTTCTGTTGTCGCCCTAAGGTTATTCGGCAACGATTAGAAAACCGTAACAAGTATGCGCGCGTTTGATTGGGGTTCCAAATGATATTTTTCTTACAAACGGTTCTTGTGAACATCTACTCTTTATCGTGTTAATTATTTTAAACGAAAAAACCTGGAAAAAAAACCCGACATCTGCGTACTTTTCTTACGCGAAGATAAAAACGGGATCCGGCTCGGGTATACGGATGAAGCGATTCTCGGCAATCTTCGGTGCTCGCGCGAAGTTAAAAGCAAACGGAGATTATTAGTGCCGTCGTCGTGCAGCCGTTCGCGGAGTACGGCGCGCGCGTCATCATTAAACGGTCTGGTTGGCCGACGACGACGGCGGCGACGGTTGCGCAACCGGTATGCGTGTAAGCATTTTGTCGCATGTACGTGTAATAACAATAATAATAATAATGTTTGTACAAAACGGGCGGTGGCGACGAGGGGATGTTGTTTGGCGAAAAAAGGGAGAGAGAGAGAGAGAGAGAGAGAGATAGACATATAGTGGCGATATCTGGATGTTGCCGAGGGGGTTAATATACGCGTCTAAATGCGTTTCGGAAGTTGTACGGCTAAAGCCGAAAAAAAAACCCTCTCGGAACACAGCGTGTAATATTGCATCGCTTACAAACGACGCCGCCGACGGGGTTGGCGCCAAACGGGCGAACGCGACGGAACAACACGATTTACATTAAATTATGTTTACAGGACCTGTATCGCGTACGACATGTGACAATTGGTCCCTCTCAAATATGCTGACGATGTTGCAATACGAAAACGTCTACGCGCAACAACGTCATTACGAATGGAAGTCATCGAAGCCGGGTGGATCGGAGGTAAATATTCGAGGTAACGCGGTAGCCGTTATGGCTCGGAGGAAATCGTTTACTACGACCTAATGTTCGTAAAATGTTCACTACTGGAGATATCTAATGGATTTCATGAAGCATACGACCGCGATCGAATACGGTTTTAACGATCCTGCGTGTTCGTCTACGGTAAACTTATTTTTTTATTGCGTGTGACAAAGGGACGAAACTTCGAACCGCGCGAAAGCCTTTGACGCGCTCTGTACCGCGCGCGAAAAACACGTATCGATGTAACGGTATGCACGGTATAATGTCGGGTGTGCGCGTTTCACGAGAAAGCTGCCGCGTACGTTCGGGTGTGCAGCGGTTCTATTAAGGTCAGAATTTATGTTTGTACTTACGTTGTGCAGTTTGTAGTAGAGACCGCAAGCGTTGCAAACGGGTTCGCCGTTTTGGTTTCTCCTCCACAGCGTCGTGGTGGACGTTTTGCAATTCGCACAGCTCGTCCCGGCTCTACGGGCTGCCGACTGCAAGGACTGGAATGGACAAAAAACAAACCGATTAGACTCCCTGTACATGGTAATAAAACGTAAAATAATAATAAACACGAGTAAATAATGCCACATTGAACGTCGATAGTGCACGCGATGCGCACCGTGGCCCGAAGAGAAAATCGCGGTTTCGTAAAACGACTAAAAAAAAAAAATAAAATACTATACGCCCTCGTATTGTAATCACGTTCGTTGTCTTTGGTCCAAACGAGTGCCCTGCTCGGTCCGTTATTTTAAGGACCAGACCGGACTACAAATTTTACCAGTAGGGGATCGAAGTCGGACCGGACCACGGTTAAACGTTAATCGAAGACCAAAATTGTACCGAACAGACGGCTTCAAATTATTTTCAGACCGCACCGGACCGGTAGTTAAATAACATTTAAATAAAGTAGACCGTAGACCGGACTGTCGGTGCGATCTTAAAACATTTTGAACCGTTTATGGACGGGTCCGTAAGGTTCAGTCCGTATTATCCCAGACCGTACCATATGATGCGTTTAGTATTACACTGGACCGGACTTTATAAATAAATGTATACCTAAAGTTGTTGGGTTTTTTTTTTTCGTTTTGTTTACATAGCAATATCTGTATTTAGATTTTAAATACCACGATTGGGACCGGCTGGACCGATTTTCATTTCTTTTCTTTTTTTTTTTTGAAATCAGACCGGACTGAAAATAATGCATTTTATTTGAGGACTGGACCGAACTACTGCTGAAAACTATCGAACCGGACCAAACCGGACGGTTCAAAAATGTTTATACGTTAGAACCGTACTAGACCGGACCGGACCGATCAAGACCGGACTGGTATGCGGAGCACTGGTCCAAACGGTCTTTCGCGTTGCCGTCGACGCGTACTACGGATATCGCGCGTCGATTTCGTTCGGTACATGTCGCTCAAACGAGTGCCCCCGACCCCGAACAACGGCTCTCGCGATATAATTAATTCAATCGTAATGAATTCGCGTTCACGCGTGCCCTTTTCCGTAAATACTTCACGTGCACAATGGCGAGTGGTTGACGCGCGTACGTCGTGTGTATAATCTGACGGTGGCGGTCAAGTGTATGCGCGCTTGAACACAATACCGTCGGTCAATTAACAAAGGTTAACATGTTGGCGAGTGGAAAAGATTTCTTCTCGTCCGTACTTGTACATCAATTAGACTCCGTCGTACGCGCGACTACGGGTACGACGGTACGTTATATTACGTTTGTATTCAAATTAAAAAAAAAAAAAAAAAAAAACGTTCCACGCCGCATTAACATAATTCCACGTTGTAATGGTTGTCCGGTCGAAATATGTCCATATAATGTTCGAACATCTCGAAACATTTTCGTGAAAAAAAAAAAATTACAATCATAAAAAAATTGAATGTTTAATTTCCATTTTATTTTTATAACGCAGCCGGATGCATTTCTATGTCTGCCGAAAAAAAAATAACGTGTTGTACAAAGAACGTGAATGTGTGCGGTAACATATTTAGACTCGTTTTCCCGAGACAAACGCGAACCACTATTCCCCGCCCTTTTCCTGTAATTAACGTTTTATTTAATTAGTCGGTACATTCGCAGGTGTTTCGACCTCACCTCAACATCGCAATCGTTATTCGAACGCAAACAAAAACAAAACAAAAAAAAAAAAAATGACAACTTTATGACGATTGACGGGCCGACGGGGTTTTATGTAGCGAACGAATAATATTATATTATTATTCCAACCGAAGTTATTCATTCAAAACCTAATGGAAAACGGCCGTCGCCGCGGACAGCAGACGCATATGAATATGGTAAAATCGATATCACTATAATTTTGGTAGCACGTATGTTCCACACAGAGCATGTGGTACCTTTACAACAATAATATGCGTACGGTTAAACGTGAAAACGCTAAGTGGTACCGTATAAAAAATAAAAATAAAATATCGAGTTAAACACTTGAGAGGTGTCAAATTTCACAGCAAATGTCATTCAAAACATTTTCAACGCGCTCGACCATAGTACATATATTTTTTTCGTCCTGGTCGCCCTTAAAAGGTTTTAAGCCGTTGAAATGTTTTTATACAAAAGCGTCCATTAAACGCGTCGATTTGGCGTGTCGTACATCACGTGAACCAGCTATTATGCGTTTTATTTTTCAGCCCCCGACCCGTAGATAAGAAAACACCGAAAGGATTGAAAGGCGAGTCCTACCGCATACACGCCCGTGGCATGTTTACGTACATCGCATACACGGCGTTTCAATGTACATAATTACGTGTACCTTCGACGTAAATTTTATACGCACCCGATTCGTCCGAGTAGAATCGTATATCGAGCAGGACACGTGGACGCCCTCGCATCGAACACGTAACATATAATGCGGTCGAGTGCATAAAATGTTTTGCATATTGCCCAATTGTCGACAAAATATACGTATAAATGTATATGCGTACGTATTATACATACGATATAATATTATAGTTGTGTTATAGTAATAGACTACGGTTGTTGGTAATATTAGTTTGTTATTTTTTTCTTCAAATATATAATAAAAACGCTCGTCTATTGTTCTAACAAACAGTAGGTCTGCGGTGCGGCATATATATATATATATATATATATAAATAGATTATAAGACATTAGCAGAAAAAAAAAATAATAAATAAATACCAAACAAGCCTATTGTTTAACGATGAAAACGCGTCTGCCACTTATATAATAAAAACGTGTTTAAATACACGCGCACGCATATTTTCACGAGGCATACGCGTATGGGGAGGGGAGGGGAGGGGAAACAATATTGTACTATTATCGTGTTCTAGTGCGCGTTTCGAGAGGGTCAATCGGTGTACATGAGTAGATGGTATTGTGCGCGTACGGTATTACTATGCGCGCGGTGTATGCACGGGGTTCGGGTGTTCTTCCGGTCGTGCGATTGATTTCTTCGGCGTCGGAATTCCACCGCGGACCGACGTTTACGTACAAACATAATGGCTACTTATAACGTACAGCTCCACTACCGGACCTTACCAACGTGCATACACGCGATAACCTACGTATCGCGTCCGACCGCACGAAACGACTTGTCCGGTTGTCAATTAAACGTCATACAACGAATAAAACGTAATATAATCGGATCGGTTTTCGACGAGCGCGACGGAGGAGGAATGGAAAGGAAAGGAAAAAACCGTGTACACATGCACAGATACCCGCGGCGCGCATTTCGTACGGGTAAATGTCCATTAGAGGCGTGTAAGAGACGTAGGCGTGTGCGCGCGCGCGTGTATGTGCAACAACCCCGTCGTCTGGGACCGAAAATATGAAATAATAATAATAATAATATTACACGTCGCCCGTTCCAATGCCTTCCAATTTGTGACTCATCATAATTTTTTGTTTTTTTTTTTTCTTCTTCTCCTCTTCCTACCACCGCGCGAGACCCGTAAACGGCACGTCAATATATTATTGTATAAGGTCCTCGCGCGCGCGCGCGCGCGTGTATAATCCGAAACGATAATAATATTTTGTTCGCCGATCCAATCATTTGATAAGTGCGCGCTGGTATTTTGATAAATGGACGCGCACGAAGAAACGAGACGAACACTGCGGGTACAAACGCGTGCGCGAGGCGTTTACGGTGTATGATATTCAATTTTCAAGATTCCGTCGCTAAGTACCGTTCGTATAACCCAATGCTACACCCGGGTGTACGCACTCGCACTCCGATTATGAACGCGATGCGACTGCGGGGCGCGAACGGCACGCCACGGCGGCAGGTTGATAAATTATTTATTTATTTCGTTATCAGAAAAAAAATACGGAATGTTTGCGACGTGTACGGTTAGCGAATCGGGCGATTAACGAACAATATTAACACGAACGATTTCGAAGAAGGAGTCTGTCCACCGGTGACAAAGCAATCGAAATAAACCGACGACGTTTATACGTTCTAATAGTAATTGTGCGAACACATTCGTCTCGGGGCCGGATATTACGCGACGTGCACGAAACACGTTTTTTTTTTTTTTTCGGAAATCATTGTGATACCGGACGAGAAGACGACACGCGGTGGTCGTCTTCGGTTTTCGCGGTGGCTCAAGTGGCCCGCACTGATTATACCGTGAGATTTCGCCGCTTATCAGATCCAAGCACATCGTTGTCGTGTGCACAACGCGCGCGGGGTCGATCGCCGATGGCGAGACGTACGTTTTGTTTTGAGTATTACGTTTACAGGACACGTACGAAAACGCGCGTCGAACGTTGCATTTGAACGGGAGGACCTGAACTCGAAACCGGATACGTGCGGGGGAGGCTGCGCGCGAATTCGATTGATAAACCGTTTTCCGTCGGGAGGACTGCATCGCAAGGACAACCGAAAAAGTACGTTGGCCGGGCGCGTCGGCCTAATCACCTAGCGCGGTAAGCGTTCGCCCGACGCCCCTGTTGGACACGTGTTTGCGGTGCATATTTTTCGTCGGCGGATCGACGACACGCCGCTACCTATGTACGACGGATTCGACGGGGACCTCTGGACGGCGCGGCTGAGCCCCGAGCGGACAGCGCGGACGCATAACAATAACGACGTTGAGAACGCCAACACTGGTTATGGACATTATTCCGGTGCGCGGACCCCGAGGAGGTCCCGAGCGGAGCGTAAGAAATCGCTAATAGAGAGCTATCTCTTCGATTATCTCCCGTCGCCCGTGGAAGGAAAACCGTTTGTAAATCCGTACGCGTTCCGCACGCGATAACCGAACGCGGCCGGGCACTCGTTCGCGGTGCGCACGTACGGCCGCGCGCATATCGTTGCGTGCAGCGATCGGAGAGTCCGAAGGCTAGATCCGTAACGACATTGTACCGCGCGTCCGCGAGACCTGGAAACGTTGTACAGCGCGCGCTAAACGGTCGTGCGCGGACACGGGTATTAGGGGCACGATATCCGCGTCGCCGCCGAGATGTATCGGTCCGATAATGATTTAATAATTGGTGGAGAAAAAGTAT